TATCTAAAAAGATTTATTGTGAAAATGGTGTGGTGAACATATTCACGTCTTCATATTGAAATATGAGTATCGAGACCACACACTCTACAGTGAGTATCCTGACACTCAGAGAGGAAGAAGTCTGCACTCAATCCTCTCTTTAATTCAATACAAAGAGAACTTCATTCTCTTATTAAAGATGTTTTGAACTTGAATGGTAAGTGCTTTACGACAGTGAACCCTAAAGGTAATATCAAACACTCGGGATAGGAGAAGGCATACGCCTAACCACTCCACACCCATCTAAGTTTATTAGGAAAAGAGTTTGAAAATGCACTTGGTACGAGACCATGGTTTTAGAAGACAAAAAGAAATGAAGAAAAGTTTGTAAAAAGAAAAGGTGGTGAATTGGTTTAACAATTTGTTGAGAAAATCCACTTGACGTTGGATCAAGGGTTTGACTTGTATTTACGTGCAAAACATGGTGGAATGGAAAATGGGTTTGAAAATGGCTCCACGACGAGTTGAGGGTTTTGATTGACAACAGAACCGGCTTGATGATGAATCAAGGGTTAAGGTGTGAGAAACGATACTAGTCCCTGGGAGTGCTCCTAATATCGGAACCACAGTGGAGTGTCACAGTGTGTGTGATAGATTGATGGCGAATTCGGACGAGCACTCGTCTTAGAAGGGGTGTTTGAAAATGGCTCGATGAAAAATCGAGAACTAATTTGAAAATGGTTTAATCTACGCTAGTCTGTGGGGATGCTCCTAAAAGATAAACCACAGTCAAAGAAATACAACAACGTACATCGGAATGGGAGAGGGGTACATGAAAATTACACGAGATTGCACGAAATAAAAGGTCTCATTGTCAGGTAGCTCAAGAGGAAGCCATGTGCGTGCAATGTGTCTTAAACTAAGTCTTGAGAAAAAGTTGAACATAACTCCAAGCTAGGGTTTCTGACAAAGTCCAAAGATCTGTCACTCGGATAAACAACCAATAGTCCACCAATTTAGGATTTTATGGTTTCGATAGTTATTAGGTGTTTTGAAAGAATGTGAATAGGAGAAGAAATGAATATGAACAGAATATGAATAATATACTAGATATATAACAATATATATAAGAATATTCGCAATAACATATCAAGATAAATATCAATGAGTATATGGACAAGATAATATAAATCAAGATAATATCGACTGAAAATAAAATAGTGGTATATTTGAATTGAAATAAAGCAGTTGTATACTGACGGAAGGTAAAGTTAGTGGTTAGTTTGTTATTGAATTGAATAGGGACGAAATGTAATACTAAAACATCGGAGCTCGACTTATGGTGAAAGTCAAACTATAAGAGGTCGCTTAAATTGATATCCGTGCTAAAAACAAGATAGAGAAATGATATTGAAGATCATTCTTCGATTTAATCGTGTCGCACGGAAAAACGAAGGGTGGTGTAATACCCCAAATTTTGCCCTAAGATTAGTCGAATAATCTCGCATTCTGTTGCATTTTTTCATTTAACCAGCCACTAACAAGTTCGTGTAGTTCGTTGATTTTTGCAGGAAAATATCATGTGACACGTTTTTTGGTTCATGAAGGGTAAATTGGAATAACTAGGAATTAAGAGAAAAAAAAGGTTTTTCATTTTAATTTTCATTTCCTATTTTAAATTAATTTCATCAATCATGTGTCATTTTTTTCATTCATCATATTTCATTTTTTAAATTAATTTCATTGCATTTTTAATATCAATCATATATCATTTTTTTAAATTAATCCCATTTTTAAATCAATCATTGTTTCATTGTTTAAAGAAAAATCAATTTCATTTCTATTTCATTCTTAATTTTAGTCTCATTTCATTTCTATTTTTCATTTTAAATTAATTTCATTTTTCTTAAATATTATTTTCATTATATACATTTTTATGCTAAGTTTTAATTTTTATTATTATTTGCATATCAAAAAAATAAAATAATAATAATAATGTTTTAAGAAAAAAATAAAGGATTTTTATTAGAAATAATAAGATATCTTTACAAAAATAATAATAAATAAATAGAGTTATTAATTTCAATTTTATTTTAATTATTTAAAATTTTGTAATTATAACTAATATTAATTTAAGTTGGGCTTTAAAATGGGCATTAGGTTAGAGTTAACCCTAATTTGTTACCTATATAAACATAAGTGAGGGGAGAAAACTTCATGAACATCAGAAAATCAAAAACAGGTCATCAGAAGAAGAAGAAGAAGAGAGTTTTGAGAAAAACTCAGAAGATCCACCAACAAGGATCATCCAACGGCGGCCGTGGACCCTTTGGAGCCTCACTACCACCGGCGGACAACAACCAAGCAAAAAGTCTCAGAAGAAGCTTCATCACCTCGCCGTCAAACACCGTCATCAAAAATCCAAAACGTAAGATTATGATATTAATGGGTTTGGTTTTTTTATATTTGGTTTCAGGTATGAACAACGAAAGCGAATCAGGAGGAGAAGAAGCAAAAGCTTCAAAGAAGGCAACAACGGAGGCCAGCGGCGCCACGTGTGGAAGGAAAAGAATTGGTCAAGCCTTTTCTTTTTTTTTTCTCTAATGATGCAATTTAGTTTAATTAGATTAAATTAAAACCTTTTTTTTAAAACTAAAACCTTTCCTAAACTGAAACTTCCTTTTTTGTGGATGAAATCCAAAGCCTTTGTGTTTCAAAAATCAAAACCCTTTGTTAAAATTAAAACCTTTTTAAAAAAAAAAACCTTTTCTTAAAGGTAATTAGGAACCTTTTTTAAAAGTTGATTAGAATATTTCTTTAAAAATATTAACCAAATTAACTTTTTCTCCCAAAATTAAAAATCTTTTTTAAAATAAATTAAAGTTTTTAATAAATTGCTAACCTTTTTGTCCTTGGTTACTAATTTCACATTTTATCATATTTTCATTTTTTTCGGTTGTAATTATGCGAGGCATCGTCACAATTTATTATTCTTGCGTATTGTTTTTCATGGATGTAATTTATGCGAGGCCATGATTGCAGTTATTTTATTTTTTTCGCATTTTTTTGGGACTTGTAATTTACGCGGGTGATCATCGCGACGCTTTCTTTACTTTTCGCACGTTATTTCTGCCGCATAATAATTTGCCATATCTTGCATGATTAGCCGTTAATTTCCTCCTCCGAAGGAATTAGATCTAGCCGTTTGACCGCCGAGTCAATAACCCTAACCCTTTGAACATTTCAAAACCCTAATTAGCCTAGGCGTTCCGCCGTGGACAAAAATACCCTTTACCCTAACTTTAGGTCAAAGAGTCGCCGTACTCTGTTTTAGGGTTTCCCGCCGTGGAACATTTAGTCAACACCTAATTTTAACCCTAATTTCAATTCAACATTTCAACATAGAAATAGGAGTTTCGAAACTCCATGTAAGCGTGTCCTTAAGAAATGTTTACTCCCCATTGAAACCTTGACCACAGTCAAGACGTTTTTTAAGGGGAACTACGATTACTCTGATTCCATTCCCTATCCAGGATACGTAGGCACAAGATGCGAATCTTGCCGAGTAAACTTAGGACTAACCCTTAGGTCTTTTAGGTCACTCTATCCCTTAGCACAATATATACTTAAAGCAGATAATAAAATAAATTAAAAGCATACAATAAACAAAAGGTTCCTGTAGAGTACTACAGAAGTTTAGGGTGCTAGTACCTTCCCTAAAACTTAACCAACCCCTTACCTAGGTCTCTCCCCGCATTTTGTTTACGATGCAAAATAGGTTTTCCCTCTTTTGACCTTTTCCTTCGGATAAATCACAGAGCGGTTGTGAATCAAGAATTGTGATTCAAACTAATTAATAGTTTGATATCCTATTTCCACCGCAACAGGTGAGATCTCGTCTTAATCAAAAATTCATGTTAGTTAATCGAGGGTAACCTCTCACGATCTCAAAGTATAGAAAAATGATCCAAATGATCATTTTCTACAGATTTGAAATAATGAAGGTTATCAACCTTGAAAACCAACATTCGCGAATCGAAAGACTTCATAGATCGAAAAACGAAATAAAATCGAAAATGAAATTGAAAGTAAGGTTAAATCTCGTCTTAATCGCAAAACTTATGTCAATTAATCAAAGGGAACCTCTCACGATCCCAAAGTATAGGAAAATGATCCAAATGATCGTTTTCTACAGATTTGAAATAATGAAGGCTTATTATCAGTCATTATCCTCTTAAAACATCATGAGAGGTAAAATACCTAACTAAAATACAAGATATATATATACACACACAATTCAAATGTAATAAAGTAAATTACAAGATATAAACAAAGTTTAGTAAAATATAATAAAAAATGAAACATCAAAATTAATATTAATTAACAAAAAGTAATAAAAAAGTTAACAAGATCATAACTAAAATACTTAACAAGTTTGTGGATAAAAAATCATATAAAACTTTAAATCAAAAGAAATGAGGGGTTGAAGATTAGAATATGGGGTCAATGTCATATGGGCTCCTTTTAACAAGAACCCATCACTCAAAGGAAAAATACAGACAGGAAAAAAAAGAAGGGGGAGGATTAAAAGGATCACGGGCTCTAAGGCCCAACATCCATCCACAAGTCTTTAGTAAAATAAAAAAAAACAAGATGGGTTCACGGTTTGAAAAAGGGATGGTCATAGAGAATAAAAAACAACACCAAAACTTCAAAGTAAAACATCATTATCCTCTTTCAACGACAGTATGAGAGGTGAAACAAATCATCACAAGATTTACATAAACGACGAAAAGAAATTCGAAATAGAGAAACAAGGGTAACAACACAGCCATGAGGATAACCTTCTTGCGTGTGGTTCCGATAACATCCATGATTCAGGTTTCGATTTCTCTCAAACAGGTTTCGTATCGGTTAGAAGGTTCATTGTTTGGATCATTTTATTTAACTCTCTATTCATTTCTTTTTCATCTCTTTTCTGGTTCTGTTATGATTTTGAATGGGTATTGGTGATTTGTTTTTTAGGTTGTGTCATTCGGTCGAGGAAGGATTTGAGGTTGAAGAAGAGGGTTATAATGGTTTGTATTGAGGTTATTTTCGTGAAGCGGTTTAAGAGAAGAATGAGTTTGAGGTGAAAGACGCGGCCAAGGAAATGAATCATCGCGGGTGAGTCGCTTCCGGAGAAGAATAACGGACATGGCACGAGCCTCCTGGTGAGGCGAAGAATGAAGAAGATGACCTAGCTTCAAAACGAGGCCATCGAGATCGGTTTGTTTGCAGAGGTTAAAGAGAGCTTCAGCCTGAGAATGTTTCGCGTTGGAAGATGACATCAACCGCGAGATCAGGCTCTTGAACGGTGAAGGATTGGCGGCGAGTATCGTGGCGAGTTGAGATTGCTGCAACTGAGTTAACTCGGTATCCATGACGATTAGCGGCGAGAGAGAAAGTGGTTTAGTTTTTAGGGTTCCCTCCTTTTGTCAATGATGAGGCGAGGCAGTATCAAATACTAACAGTCAAGGTAATTATGATGGGTCCTGAACGTATGGCCCCTGGTTTTTGATGATGGATTTTGCTGTACGTGCAAGTCTGGTGGATTAAGATTGAAAACATGGCCTGTGATTTCACTTTTTTTCCTAATTCTGGATTTATTGTATAATAGGCCTATGGTCTTTGGGAATTTTTGTAAATAGAATGGGCCTTTTAAGTAATAAATGTATAATGAGATTTTGGCAAAAAATGGACTTTGGTTTTTTGTAGAATTTTTTATGAACACACCTTAATTTGCAATAGGCCTTGAATGATGCATATTGTGTTTTCTAAGAAAATATCCTTTTGTAGTTTTTTTTATGTGGAATAAACTAGGATGATGAACCTTTCTCATGGTGATTTGAAATTTGATTTTGGCATCCTCCATTTCAAATATTGAATTGTGCTCTTGATTTTTCTATTGAACTTGACATGAATTAATCCTCAAATTTGGACTAAACCTTGATCTAATTCTTGAACCAACCCTGAATCTATAAATTCAATAAATCCAACCCTTTCATAGTGAAACAGATGAACAAGAACATGCCTTGAAATCATAAATTCATAACTTGAAGTACGAATTGCAATGCACGACCCTAATTTTGAAAATGCTCTGATTTTTGATAATTTTGAGGGCTTGATTCATCCATAACTATCTTGACCTATACACACCATACAAATCATGTATCTCGACTTGAATCTTGAAACAAACCCTTGCCTGCCTAAAAAATCAAATCAAAACCATTGAAACCCAAACCATACACACACTTCTGACTTGATAACCTGATTCGACCTTCCAACAACTTGAATAAGAGGGAACGAAAGCAACAACAAATACTTTTTGGATTTTCTTAATGATAGTAAATGGATAGAGGTGTAAATGAGAAGTATATGCACGTAGGACAAATTTGGGGTTTGACAGATGCCCCTATCTAATCGGTTTAAACCTAGGGAAATGAATTGCTACAACATTCTTTCTCCTAAGGTAGAAGTCAATTAGATATGAAGAAGACCCTGAATTTGTTTGAAGAGAAAATAAATGCCCGAGAATTGAAATATTGTATAAAGGTATACCCCTGAGTAAACTGTGAATAACTGGCAAAAGGTCGCCATCACCAAAAGGATGATGGAACGAAAAACACACGGGCTACTACCAACGATAGGATGATAGAGCAACACTCACACAATCTGGCATCAAGATGACAGACCAACCACCAAAAGGATGACGGAGTAAACTCAAACTAGCTACTACCACCAAAAGGATGATAGAGCAACACTCGCATAATCTGGCATCAAAAGGATGACAGACCCATCACCAAAAGGATGACAGAGCAAAGTCACACCGCTATTACCACCAAAAGGATGATAGAGCAACACTCACACAATCTGGCATCAAAAGGATGACAGACCCATCACCAAAAGGATGACGAAGCAAAGTCACACCGGCTATTACCACCAAAAAGATGATAGACTCATCACCAAAAGGATGATGGAGCAAAACACACCGGCTATTACCATAAAAAAGATGATAGACTCATCGCCATAAGGATGATGGAGCGAAACACATAAGTTACTACCACCAAAAGGATGATAGAGCGATACTCACAGTCCTGACACCTAAAGGATGTAGCAAACAATCATACAATCTGACACCAAAAGGATGACAGATCCATCACCAAAAGGATGACGAAGTGAAACTCACAAGTTATTACCACCAAAAGGATGATGATAACTTCCCAATCTTGGAGGTGTCATACCCCAAATTTGTCCTACCTTTTGAAATTTACTTATACCAAGTGGTTATGTGGATTGGTGACCTTTCTATAAATTCAATTATATGGCATGAGTCAATTTTAAGTTGGAGTCACGGTACGAGGTGACCTACTTTGTTTCAATTGGTTCAATTGTTTTCTATAAGATGTGATTGGAGGGTTTGTTTCGAGCTTTGTGGATTTACAGCTAAGTTAATGTTAAGATACAAGACTGGAATTCTTTCACGTTTCAGGTCATATTGAAATTCGCTTCAGAGAACTTATGGCATGATCAAAAGGTCTGAACGCAACGCTAAGTATTAGTTCATTTTTCAATTCGTATGATAAATTAAGGTGTGTTTGGGCTAATGGTTCCAAAGTATCCAAGTAGTCCTTAATGAAATTGCGACCAAATTAATTAGTGCACAAAGAAGGGGGTTGTAATTCAGGTCATGGAATGGTCTCATGATAAGGTGCCTAGTACTTTCTGGGTCAGGCTTTTGATAGGATAAGTATACATCCCTGTTCTAGAATTTCATGATCAATGCATTAGTTCATAACTAAAAAATTCTATGTTGCTTACATCAAAAGATACCCGTGCATTTTCAAAGTAAAGATAAATGATTATTCAGTAAGGAGATTACATCACTCCAAATATAACATTATCCCTCATGGTACAGAGGCTGCGATTAAAAAGCATGCATCTGGCGTTAGCCTAAAGAAAGTCCATTGGTGGCATCCGGCGTTAGCCTAAAGAAAGTTTGTTGGTGGCATCGACATCAGGATTAATGTCATCAACAAAAGTTTGATATTGTGGCAAAATTCACCTCCCAAAAACGCACAGCACCAGGAATATAACCTTTAGCATTCCTTCTTGTTTCTGGGAGCAAATTCAGACCTGCAAGGGAAAATAGTCATGGTTCGTTAATAGTCACGTGCTAACCTTTTCGGTAAAGAGAATACACATGATTCCGATGCTTAGCAACAGAAGGCATGAAATTGGAAGATAATTGTTTTGCCTTTGGAAAGAAGTGGTAAAAAAGAGGTGTTTTATTATGGTGCTTAAACAGAGCCAGCCAATTGAAATTCATCCTATCAAAGCTTATCTAACACAATGTAAAGAGTTGCATAGTTTTCACCTGTTACTAATCCATCTTTGAATGCATATATTGTGCAAAATTCAGGCCACATAGTCAAGCAGTAGTTAACAACCATGTCACGAGAAAGTGTGGTAAGCCGGAAAGTTGGTGTTCAGTAACTCGAATACACCACAACGTTGGGACTGAGATGTGGAATCCCTTCAAGATAGCCCCAAGATGAAATCATGAATTTACAAACAAAGTCTCTAAAGTTTTCCTCGTCAATACCTTCAATTTTTCATAGCTTTTCAGAACCACATCCAATACGGCAACATGTAACCAAGACCTGCAGACATTCAAGCATTACAGATTATCACAAGATCAAGATAAATATGAAGCCCAAACTTATCCAGTTGAGGCACGAGCCAGTTTTCATTAAAAAGGATTGACATGTAAAGAAACTCAGAACCTTGTTTGCCTCATCTCTGAGTATTGATCAGGCTGCCCCAGACGGTGTTGTCGCCAAGCTAGAACCTCGTCATGAAGCCATATGCACATGAAAAAGGAACAATACAAAGAATTAGCGTATCAGAAAGTAATGTTGCGTAAGATGAAAAAAAAGCTACAAAACACAACGGCACAAAACAGGTCATGCTGATACATAATGAAAACTAGATGATGTTCAATACCTTTAGACCAGTAGCATTGATCATTCTGATTCATCTGTCATAAGATGAACAAATGATTAGTGCAAGTGGGACCACAACCAGCTTCAGCTTACAAAAAGACTATACCTGCACAAACCATAACGGTAGGATCAATGTAGCAAAGTTACACATTGTTCCATTATCCGCCAAACTTGTACATGTGCAACTCAAAAGCAAAGAAAATCAGCCGTGCAGAGTCAGGACTCCGAAAATCATTACGCCAGCAAAAGTCCGGAGCCATACAGGTGTGTACATGCAGCAACATACCAACAATGTACAGGATCTAAGAGTATTCTGTATCTTCAAGAAACTGTGAGCACAACTTCATGTCCATGCCGAAGCCTTGCCTAAATCTTCTAGCAGCCTCATCCAAAAGCATCCTTAACCAAAGTTGCCGTCAGATTCTCCGTCCAAGTGCAAACATGAAAAGGAAATTGAAGAAACATTAGTATGAGATGGTACGTGTGTGTGCTAGGACAAAATCACAAGTGGAAAATATTTCTTGTGCACGTCGGCAGCGGCTATGCAAAGGATCCCAAACACGCAGTTTGCACAGTCATTTTAATACACCAAAGTTCAACTTAATTCACAAGATTCAAATTCCCAAAATGTGAAAGTTATAAGTTACATGATTAAGAGGATTAAAATGACTACATACTTCCATCACCAAGTCTGTACCTAAAAGAGTGAATCTCAGTTCCACCAAGATCTTGCTCCATTGTCATAATCACCCTTCAATTGCCTTTATATCCATGTGATCTTCACTGTTATCACAATGATCTACAAGAAGTGAACCAAGAATAATTGATGAGTACTCTCAAAATGGCAAGAAATTCAAGTGACCAAGAGAATTCATTACCTTTTATGCCAAAGAAGCCATGGATGCCATCACTTCGTGCCCAGTTGTTACCAAATTCGACAAAATTCTGCTCCGAATCACCAATGCCATGTTTTGCCAAGTCTTCATTCACGTCAAAAGTGTCATGAAGACAAGTTTCACCATTTACCCGAGCTCGCATCATCATCCTGCCAGAGACAAGCACATGAAAAGCCAAAACGAAATTATAAGTCAATCCATAATTCCAAAAAAAAAAAGCAAGAACAAACCATAATACAAAACACAACATTCTGCAGCAGTTAAAAAGAAACCACGACAATGTTAGACCTGCCCCTGCCACACAATTCTTACAGTTCGCTCAGTACCTAGCCTTGAAACAAAGCTCACCGGGATTTGCTCTGTTATTGACCAAAACCATTTACACCACGTTTAGTTTCAATGTGCCAACCAAATCTTTACTCCACAAGGCAAAGAGCATAGCAACAACATACAAGAGGAAACAACGGGCAACAATTATCATCA